GCCTTAGCCACTTGAGCCATGGGCGCCGAGCCCAGATACTGATTTCTAATTCAATTTTACTGTGCCCAGAAACCACACTTGAATATAGTGTTCTGTAAATGTCATTTAGGCCAAGTTGGTTAGTAGTATTATTCATGTTTTTCATATCTTTGGTGATTTTCTGTGAACTTGTTCTATCAATTCTTTTTTTCTTTTTTTTTGGTTTTTTTTTTTTTGAGAGTCTCAAGCTGTCGCCCTGGATGGAGTGCTGTGGCGTCACAGCTCACAGCAACCTCCAACTCTTGGGCTTAAGTGATTCTTCTTGCCTCAGCCTCCCAAGTAGCTGGGACTATGGGTGCCCACCACAACGCCCGGCTATTTTGGTGTTGCAGTTGTCATTGCTGTTTGGCAGGGTACAGGCTGGGTTCGAACCTGCTGCCTCTGGTGTATGTGGCCAGCACCGTACCCACTGAGCTGCGGGTGCCACCCTTACTGACTAGTTTATCCTTCACAGCCAGTCACCAAACTGAGTTTTTTCTTTTAAAAGTAATCATGGCTGGTATCAGTCTTGTTCTTTCCATTATCTCTGTAGCTTTTTACTTTTACTCACTCCCTGGCTGTTCATTGTTAGTTGTTGACTCTAAAATCACTCTCTCCACAGACTTTCATGCAGCTCCCCTGGGTGTCTCATGTGTCTCAGGATTCTTCTTGTCTGAAATGGAATTTTATTTTCTGTCCCCAAACTGCTCTTGTTCCTGTCCCTTGGTTTCTAAGTGGTGCTCCTGCCCTTCCCTAGTCTTCACTGATGGAAACTGCTGAGCGATGATTATTGTCCCTTCCATCTCCCTGCCTGGTTGACGGTGTTGGTCTTATAAGTGCACCTCGCCACCCCTACTGCTCCCACCTTTGTGTGGGTCCTGGAGTTTTATAAGAATTTCTAGCTGCTCTTCTCTGTCTCTTCCTCTGTTTATTCTGTGTCTGCTGACAGTGTAATTGTTCTCTACTGTTGTTATCTGTCTTGTTAAGAATTACAAAGTTTCTTCATTGCCTGTGGTATAAAGGTTAAACTCTTTAATTTAGGTTGAGAAAGTCTACCCTTCCTACACCCTCCACTCGCCCCTGCATGCTCCATATCGTAGCCGAAGCAAGCTGCTTGGTTCTCACTGCTCACCACCCTCTGCGTCTTGGCTTATGTGTCTTATTTCTATGGGGCACCCTTTTTGTCTGATCTTTATTTAATTCTACCTGTTGTTCAATTCTGCAGTCACCTCTGCAGAACCTTCCTTTCGTCTGGCAGTCTTTCCAGTGACCCTCAATAGCACGTTGTCTATACCTCTCTTTTGGTACTTATTAATCTAATTTTAAATTACAGCATTTACTGGCTTCGTTAGAACTCCCAAGTGTGGTTCTGCTAGGAAACTTGAGGGAATGAACAGTTCAAAATAAAGATTCCTGGGCCCTGCCCCATGGAGATTCTAGTTCAGTAGATCTGGGGTAGGTCCTGGTGATCTGAAGTGTTTTGGTTGTTTTTTTTTGAGACAGAGCCTCAAGCTGTCCCCCTCTGTAGAGTGCCGCAACATCACAACTCACAGCTGTGCTCCAACTCCTGGGCTCAAGTGAGTCTCCTGCCTCTGCCTTCCAAGTAGCTGGGACCACAGGCGCCCACCACAACGCCTGGCTGTTTTTTAGTTGCAGCCATCATTGTTGTTTGGCGGGCCCAGGCCAGCTCAGGTGTACGTGGCTGGCTCCTTAGCCACTTGAGCCACAGGCGCCAAGCTGGTAATCTAAAGTTTTAAAATGTTTCTAGATTTTTCTAATTTGTAGTCAGATATTTGAATCATTGGTCTGTCTGCCCCATTATTTTGGTTATTGGTTCCATCTTCTTTTTGGGATTGGTGTATCTTGTCTACATTGCATTGCAAACTCCCTGAAGCTCTCGACTCTCTTCTGTAGTGCTCAGCATAACAGATACAGAGTAGATGTTGAATGCAGAGTAGGTGAAAAGATCAAGGTAAAATCCTTCAATTTTTACATCTGTAAGGAGAAACTGTAATGGAGATAATGTGTTTCTCTGGAGAGGCACTAAACAAAAGGGTAGAGTAGCTTGTTAAGACTATTCTGAAGGAAAGTGATAATCCCACTTAAGAAGAGAAGAGAAACCAAGCAGTGATTTACAGAAGATTAGTAAGAGAACAAACACATGTGGTGGCACATGGATTTTATTACTTTATGTTATAGAAGAGAAAGAAGATAAGATAACATGGATCAGTTTTCAAGTGTAGTGCATGTTACTCCTGATGGTCAGAAGTGAGAGCACATTTCTTCCCTAGAACAGTGACCTTTGTAACCTCGCTGGTGGTAAACAGTGCTGAGTAACCGCAGCTCTCTTTCTTGTGCTCAAATGTGCCCTTTCCACATAGCACTTAAGCAGGAACCGCCAATCAGTCACATATGCATATGACAAAAAGGAAACCGTATGTAATCCCTGGTCTGTTAAATGCTGTTGGAGATACCTCCATAGTTAAAAGAAAAAACTATGTAGAGTGTGATCTCTATGGTCAAAATTGAAAACCAGAAAAGGACAGCTCTTAGCTAATTTACTGGTAGGATTCACTGCTCTATTTCTGGTATGACCCATCTTTTGCAAATTATGCCTTGTGTTCCTCCTAACTGCCAAGCCATTTGTGTAGATGTTCAGGTAAGTGAAGGCAAGGAAATGACTTGTTTCCCTCAAGAATCTCAGGTCATGGCTCGATATCTGTAGCTTAGCAGTTATTACAGCGCTGGCCACATACACCGGGGCTGGCAGGTTCAAACCCTTCCCAGGCCTGCTAAACAACAATGACAACTGCAACAACAACAAAACAAATAGCCGGGTATTGTGGTGGGTGCCTGTAGTCCCACCTACTTGGGTGGCTGAGGCAAGATCGCTTAAACCCAAGAGTTTGAGGTTGCTGTGAGCTGTGATGCCACAGCACTCTACCAAGGGTGACATAGTGAGACTCTGTCTCAAAAAAAAAGCATCTCTGGTCACTAAAATTTTGAAGACATTGGTGCATTAAGTGTCTACTGATGACACGGTAGGAAGGTTAGGTTTCTTAAAACACTGGGTTGTCTGTCCCTCCTTGCTTATTGTTGAAAAACTACACTTACTTTCAGCACTATTGGAATTCTCTTCCTCTAGTTTTATTAAGTATGCGCTCACATGCCACGGAAGTTCTAACCAGCGTATCTTACTACCCTTCCTCCCTCTCTCTTGCCCTCTCTGCAATGAACCTGATGTGTAATTGGTGTTTCACTCATCTCCTTGCTCTTTCCAGGTCAGATGATGATGACGCGGAGAGTAGGAGCTCCAGGGTGACCCAGCTTTGCACTTACTTTCAGCAGAAATACAAGCACCTCTGCCGCCTGGAGCGGGCAGAATCTCGTCAAAAGAAATGCCGGCATACATTTAGGAAAGCTTTGCTGCAGGCGGCCAGCAGAGAGCCAGAATGCGCTGGGCAGCTGATGCAAGAGCTGAGGAGGGCTGCAGTCGGTCAAACCAGGTTAGAGCCACAGCTGCCTGTTCTGAGGGACTTCACTCAGTCTGTTTTCTGCGTGTTTTACATAGAATAGAATAGTTGAGGCATAATGTGAACAGAGCACTTAAGCCCCAAATAGTTAAGCATCTATTTGGTTTTGGTGCTTCATTAAAGTGTCACATAGGTGTCAAAAAAATACTGCTATGAGCTTACAGTAAAATTAAAGCGTTACTGAAATTTGGCGGGTTTCATTAGAATTTATTCATTATACTTCTTTTTTTCTTCTTTTCTTGAGACAGAGTCTCACTATGTTGCCCTCTGTAGTGTCACAGCTCACAGCAACCTTCAGCTCTTGGGCTTAGGCTGTCCTCTTGCCTCAGCCTCCCAAGTAGTTAGGGCTACAGGCGCCCACCACAACCCCCCAGCTATTTTTTTTGCAATTTGGCCAGGGCCAGATTTGAACCTACCACCCTCTGTACATGGGGCTGGCGCCCTACTCACTGAGCCACAGGTGCCACCCAGAATTTATTCATTAAAGATTTGAAAATGTTACCTGTTAAAAAAAAATACAATGCTCAGACATTTTATGTTATCTAAAAATAATATTTAGAGTTCTTTAAAAAGAAATATTTATTTATTATTATTATTATTTTATTTTTGGTATTTTATGCTTCTTTACTTGTATTATTTAAAGTATTTCAGGCCAGGTGGGATGACTTACACCTGTAATCCTGGCACTCTAAGAGGCCAAGGTGGGTGGATTGCCTGAGCTCACAGTTTTGAGACCAGCCTGAGCCAGAGCAGAATAGCCTGGCTCTAAGAATAGCCAGGTGTTGTGGTGGGCGCCTGTAGTCCCAGCTACTCGGGAGGCTGAAGCAAGAGAATCACCTAAGCCCCAGAGCTAGAGGTTACTATGAGCTGTGACACCATAGCACTCTACTGAGGGTGACAAAGTGAGACTCTATCTCTAAAAAAAAAGAAAAGAAAATAGTTTTCAGGCTGTACCTGTGGCTCAGTGGGTAGGGCGCCGGCCCCATTTACTGAAGGTGGCTGGTTCAAACCTGGCCCTGCCCAAACTGCAACAAAAAAATAGCTGGGCATGGTGACGGGCGCCTGTAGTCCCAGCTACTTCAGAGGCTGAGGCAAGAGAATCGCCTAAACCCAGAAGTTGGAGGTTGCTGTGAGGTGTGACGCCATAGCACTCTACCGAGGGCAATAAAGTGAGACTCTCTTTCCAAAAAAAAAAAGGGGGGGCTCAGCCCGGGCCCACCAAACAACAATGATGGCTGCAACCAAAAAATGGCCGGGCGTTGTGGTGGGTCCCTGTGGTCCCAGCTACTTGGGAGGCGGAGGCAGGAGACTCATTTGAGCCCAGGAGTCGGAGGTTGCTGTGAGCTGTGATGCCACGGCCCTCTACTTAGGGGGACAGCTTGAGGCTTTGCTCAAAAAAAAAAAAGTTTCCAAATTTCAAAGGCCTAGTTTCTTATTGAGTTTATTATTTTTAGGGGATGACTTTTAGCATATATGGATATAAAAATACTTAGGAGTTTATATACTGAAATGTCTCTAGATGGTAGGATTATTAATAAATTAAAGTGAAGAAAAAATTCTCAGTCTACATATTCTCATTGGTCACTTGAAGAAGAAAGATTTTAGTGCTCACTTCAGCAGCACATATACTGAAATTGGAATAATACAGAGAAGATTAGCACGGCTCCTGTGCAAGGATGACACGCAAATTCGTGAAGCTTTCCATATTTTTAAGAAAAAGAAAAAAGATTTAAAAAGAACCCCCCCAGAAAACCCAAAATATTACCATACAACGTTTACTTTGTAGCTCTTGATTACTTATATACCTACATATTTTTTATATTTTTATTTTGTATATTTTGCTTTCATTTGTTGTGAAAAAGATACCTAAATTTCAGTTGCATGGCTCACGTGGATGCACTATTGCTCAAAGGATTTCTAGAAGTGGAATGGATTTAGAGTTGTTTGAATTGAAAATGTTTATACATATCTAATACACTGTACATAATGTTTGCCACCTAGAGTATCTGCCTTTACTTCTAGACCTCCCAGTCTGGGGATGTATAGTGTCTGTTCGAGAAGATACTTCAGGTTCTATCTTATTTAGAGACTTAAAGCTTACAGAAACCTTTTGTCATTCTCTGGACTATGTCAAATCCCCCATTATGTATCCTTATTAAGTTTGGTACTGTGCTTCATCATAGAATGTTATATTTATGTTAATGTCTGTCTCTCAAGATAAACAGTAATTGCCATGAGAGTGCAAACAAGGCATATTTTGTTCTTACATCTCATATCTTTTTTTGTTTGTTTTTTGAGATACAATCTTATTTGTTGCCCCCGGTAGAATGGAATCGCAGCAACCTCAAACTCTGGGGCTCAAGTGATTCTCTTGTCTTAGCCTCCCCAGTAGCTGGGACTACAGGCACCTGCTGTAATGCCTGGCTGTTTTTTTTTTTCAGACAGAGTCTCACTTTGTTGCCCTCAGTAGAGTGCTATGACATCACAGCTCACAGCAACCTCAAATTTGTGGGCTTAAGCAATTCTCTTGCCTCAGCTTCCCAAGTAGCTGGGACTACAGGCGCCTACCACAACACTCAGCTTTTTAATTTTTTTTTATTGCAGTTGTTATTGTTCTTTAGCTGGCCTGGGCTGGATTTGAACCTGCCAGCATTGGTGTATGTGGCTGATGTGATAACCACTGTATAGGTGCTGAGCTAATGCCTGGCTATTTTTAGAGCCATGGTCTTGCTCTTGCTTAGACTAGTCTCTAACCTGTGAGCTCAAGCAATCCACCTGCCTTGGCCTCCTGGAGTGCTAGGATTACAGGTAAGAGCCAACAGGTATGAGCCACTGCGCCTGGCTACATATCCATGTTGACAAAACAAATGAATAGAATTGAATAAATGAAAGTCAGTTCTCTCTTTGTTGAGGGAATTCACTCAGTTTAACACAGGTTATAAAGTGATATCTAACATTTAAAAGATATAATGCTTTTAAGTGCATAATTTCAGTAGAAATTGTAGCTTTGCCTACCCCGAAGAGGCTTGTATGGAAACATTATATTCGAGTGGCGCCTGTGGCTCAGTGTGTAGGGTGCCCCCCCCCAGATACCGAGGTGGCAAGTTCTAACCTGCCCCCCGGCCAAACTGCAACAAAAAAATAGCTGTGTGTTGTGGCAAGTGCCTGTAATCCCAGCTAGTTGGGAGGCTAAGGCAAGAGAATCACTTAAGCTCAAGAGGTAGAGGTTGCTGTGAGCTGTGACACTACAGCACTCTAGTGAGGGTGGCAAAGTAAAACTCTGTCTCTGAAAAGAAAAGGAAAAAGAACATTATATTCCTTGACTCTGGTTATATTATTATGATCTTGTTAAAGATGTTAGAGACTGTACTATGAGTTTGGGACAATTGAATATTTCTGAGGAAAACTATAATTTTTTTTTAGAGACAGAGTCTCACTTTGTTGCCCTTGGTAGAGTGCTGTGGTGTCACAGCTCATAGCAAACTCCAGCTCTTGGGCTTAGGCGATTCTCTTGCCTCAGCCTCTGGAGTGTCTGGGACTACAGGTGCCCACCACAGTGCCTGGCTATTTTTTTGTTGCAGTTTGGCCATGGCCAGGTTCAAACCTGCCACCTTCGGTATATGGGGCCAGTGCCCTACTCACTGAGCCATAGGCTTACTGGTTGTTTTCAGAATAACATCCAAACCAACTTTAGTGATACTTAAGAAATAATTAAGAATAATTGTCACAAAAAACAAACAAGAAGATGGAATATAATAGTTTTGAATTTGATTTCATGTCATTTGGTCATGTCCCCCATGATTGGTATAAAGTTTATGTATGTAACTGATAATCATATAGCAGCGTTCCATAACCATTCCTTGGTGATTGGTAGCTTACATAATATTTAGGTTCACAGAAATCAGCTATTAGTTGCATAAAGCTCTCTATTTGATATTTTTGGTATGAAAGTCCTCGTTCCACAAAAGACATTTTAAAAGTTACCATTTTAGAAATTAAAACTTTAAAGGCTACTTTGTAATGTGTGTCTTTTAAAATAGTTTGTATTTAGTTTATATATTATATAAATATAATGTATATTTTTCTTATCTAATAACTTTGTCATATTTATTGGTGAGTATTAATGAGTAAGCCATTGAAATAGCTTAAAGTATGCAAACCCAAGTTCAGTAACTTGTAGCCACAATCCTGCAGTAACTAATGTTTGTGGGGAAACATCAGCGTTTATGGGATACAGTAGAGCTTGCCAAAGGGAAGCATGTAATAGATTTTTTAAATACTAAAAGCATTGGCCAGGCATGGTGGCTTATGCCTGTAATATCACCACATTGAAAGGCTGAGGATGGACAATCTCTTGAGACCAGGAGTTCAAGAAAAGCCTAAGCAACAGTGAGACCCTCTCTATAAAAAATAGAAAATAAAAAAATTGCTGGGTGATTGCTTGTGCCTAGGAATTCAGGGTTGCACTTAGCTGTACTCAGGCTACTGTGCTCCAGCGTGGATGACATAAGGAGATCTTGTTTTAAAAAAAAAAAAAAACAAAAAATTTCAAAGGCCAAGTGTTGTAGCTCATCCCTATAATCCTATCACTTTAGGAGGGAGAAGTGGGAGGATCACTGTGGCCAAGAGTTCAAGGCCAGACTAAGCAACATATCAAAACCCTATCTCTACAGAAAGTTAAATAAATTATCAGGGTGTAGTGGCACATGGCTATCATCCAGTAACTGGGGAGACTGAAGCAGAAGGATCGCTCCAGCACAAGAGTTTGAGGTTGCAGCAAGCCTTGATGATGATGCTACTGTACTCTAGCCAGGGCAGCAGAACAAGGCTTTGTCTCAAAAATCAAAACGAAACAAAACCTCCCAAAAATCCAAAAAGTTTTTTGGTAACAGAAGATCTTATTTATTTTAAAGTATATACACAGGAAGCCTCATAAAATGAAGATTCAACTCCCCAAAGTGGTTCAGAAACTTATATATGCCTTTCTGGTAAAATGGGTTATCCCAAAAAGTTGATAATTTGCTTTGTTTTGTTGGGATTATTTGGATAATAAAATATTTAACATAATATCAAGCATTTTTACCTTTATCCACAAGGGTAGTGAATTTCTGACTTTGTATTTATTTTAAGAGATAATTAGTAAATTGGAACATAAGGCTTTTTATTTTCCCTGAGTCTTACTGTGTTGCACAGGCTAGAGTGCAGCTCCATCATCATAGCTCACTGCGTGTAACTCCCAGGCCCAAATATCCTCCTGCCTCAGCCTCCCACGTGGCTGGGACTACAGGTGCATACTACTGAACCTGATAACTCTTCTAGTTTTAGTAGAGATGGGGTCTCGTTCTTGTTCCGGCTGGTCTTAAACTCCTGAGCTCAAGTGATCCTCCTGCCTCAGGCTCTGCTGGGATTACAGGCACGAGCTCGGAAGACTATTTTTGGACAGAGTCATTATGCTGCCCTCAGTAGAGTGCTGTGGTGGTCACAGCTCACAGCAGTGGTTCTCAACCTTCCCAGTGCCGGTGCTAGTAACAACAAAAATAATTTTATGGTTAGGGGTCACCACAACATGAGAAACTGTATTAAAGTGGCATTAGGAAGGTTGAGAACCACTGGCTCACAGCAACCTCGAACTCTTGGGCTGAAGCAACTCTCTTGCCTTAGCCTCCCAAGTCATAAGACTGTTTTCAAAAGCAAAGCCAGTGTAATCTTTTGGAAGTCTATAATAAAGAAAATGAGGGAATATGTTGTATATTAGGCTTGGTAAAATGGCTGAGCAAAATTATTAAAAGTGTTTAATGAAAATTATCTTTACAATATGTGTGTGTGCCTTCCATTTAAATCTAGATGAAGAGAATTTGGATTTAACTACCAAAATGATGGTTTATGTATTTGAAATTATATATCCTTTTTACAGGACTAAAGTAAGTGAAAATACTTTTTGAGGGGATACATATATCAATTATTAGAAATAAACTGTTTAATTCAATTACGATCTACTTTCCCTACTTTCCCACCGTTAAGATCCCAACAAATCTTGCTGGAATCTTAATTAAAGCAAGTTCTATGGTGTCATCTGCTTATCTGTTTTGTTTGGTTACTGTTTAGATGAAAGTGATAATTAGTAGAAGTATTGTTATATTTATATTTTATGTTGATTCATATGTAGTTTATATTCTGTAATATCTAATTAGTGTATATCGTCTATATTGAAACCCTTAGAGAGACAGTAGAAACAAACAACTGAAAAGATTCTTTCGTTTTCTTTTTTGAGACAGAGCCTCAAGCTGTGGCCCTGGGTAGAGTGCTGTGGCATCACCGCTCACAGCAATCTCCAACTCCTGGGCTTGAGTGATTCTCTTGCCTCAGCCTCCCAAGAAGCTGGGACTATAGGCACCCACCTAAATGCCCGGCTATTTTTTGGTTATAGTTGGGCTGGATTCGAACCTGCCAGCTCTGGTGTATGTGGCTGGCGCCTTAGCCGCAGAATTACAGGTGCCGAGCCAGATTTTTTCATTTTCAATGTCTAACTTAAATTAAATACATTAAATAGATTTTTTTTCCCCCATGCTCAGACACTTATCAAGGTCTTATAGTTGGTGATGCTTCATAGAGTCACTTGGGATAGTTTTTGTACTTAGAAGAATTTAGATATGGGCCTGGGCGAGATGGCTCGTGCCTGTAATCCTAGAATTCTGGGAGGCCGAGGTGGGTGGATTGCTTGAGCTCACTAGTTTGAGACCAGCCTGAGCAAGGGTGAGACCCCATCCCTAAAAAATAGCCAGGCATTGTGGCAAATGCCTATAGGCCCAGCTACTCAGGAGGCTGAGGCAAGAAGATCTCTTGAGCCGAAGAGTTAGAGGTTGCTATGAGCAACACAGGTAACAAAGTGAGACTCTTTCTAGAAAAGGAAAGAAAAATAATTTAGACATTGTTTTTTTTATGTTGGTATAAAGAAAATTGGAAGGATCTCCAAACTAGTAAAAATGAATAGCCGGGCATGGTGTCTCAAGTCAGTAATCCTCACACTCTGGGAGGTTGAGGCATGTGGATTGCCTGAGTTCACAGGTTCAAGACCAGCCTAAACAAGAGCAAGACCCTGGTCTCTAAAAATAGCTGGACGTTGTGGCAGGTCCCTGTAGTCCCAACTACTTGGGAGGCTGAATAAAGCAAGAGAATTGCTTGAGCCCAGGAGTTTGAGGTTGCTGTGAGCATGAGGCCATGGCACTCCACCAAGGGTGACAAAGTGAGACTCTGTCTGAAAAAAAAAAACAAAACAAAACTGAATACATATTGTAGAAGGAGTGGGGACTGGCAAATGGGGAGACAAGGGCACAAAATAAGAGTCTTCAGTGCCTGATTTTCTGGTTTTGATTTTTTTCTTTAAATGGAAGCATGTAAATGAATCACCTCTTTGTAAAATTTAAAAATACCTTAAAATACTTAAACATTAAGTGTGCAAAATAGAGATAGGACTTAAGTAATGAAATGTGGAGTTGCATATATAATAGAAAGCTTAAAAAGTATCTCCAAAAGTGAGTGCCTTTTGGTGATGAAAGTGACCCATCCATTTCTGCATATTAATATTCTCTTCTCCATATGTAAGGTGGGGCTTTTTTGCAGATTTGCTGTTTCTCAGCACAAAGTGACCAGATCCTAATAACGATAATCATGACTAACAAACACTGAATTTTTACTTAGTACCATACTGTATACTGTATATAAATGGTTTGGGTCTGGTAAGTCTTTTTATGTTCCCAACAAGCCTGCCAGCTGAAAAGTACCTTATTGTCGCTACTCTGCAGGTGAGGAAGTTGAGGTTTAAGGGAGGCTAAGTAATTTACTCACAGCTAGTAATAAGTAGAGCTGAGATTCAGAACCAGATCTGTCTGATTCTATTCTTTTTTTTTTGAGACA